CATCACATACAAAATAATATACTCTAAAAATAGTTACAGTACTATTTTGCATTCGGTGCCATAATGCTTATTCTCGTTCACCTACTGAACAAATTTAATTTTTCTTGAAAAATTTTCATTACTCCATTGTTAATACAATGAATAAAAATGAAGCATTTCAGAACTCTGGCAAGTATACTATGATTACATATCAGCAACAGCAGTACTCATAGCGATAGCAATAATTTCATAAGAACACATAAGTAGAGCTTCGGCTCAATATTTTTTGAGGAAGAGAAGATAGATTCAATTGATGTGACACAACGAAAATTTCTTGAATATTGGTACGATTTATAAATCAATGCCATGCAGAAAAATTGCCTACGTTGTAATCTAGAACAGACCTTTTTGCAATTCTCTTCATCTTTATCAGCTTTGCCATCCTGCATCCAGAACAAGCGTCGTTCATCCGTACTTTTAAATTTTAACATGTAAACGCGACCGTCAGTACATTCATTCACACGCAAAAACTCCGTGTCTCCAGGAAAAATAATTAAATCCTGTGAGATAAACTATTTGTTTCTGCGCTATGAACATGAGCGTTAATACAATTTGATTTTTTGATGTCTCAAAAAATGAAAAAAACGAAAGCACAAAAACTTATAGTCATTTTAATATTATGAATCTGCACAAGAAGGATAGTCTTCTTTAGTACAATAAATTTATCAACCAACATCAACAATTGCTCCAGTTTCCCGATTCTTCCAACAAAAATGCATCAGCTGGTCACTAGACTGCTTAATAAAAATTAGCCCTTTTGTTTTTTCGGCTACCACTTTTCGTCTATCAACTGTTGATCCTGGTTGTAAATTTGATCGTCCTGCCTGTAAGCAAAACATTTTGATTACCGCAAGAAACTTTAGCAATCATGGAAAAAACAAATTTTTAAAATTGACACAGAATGTGTGACTTTACAGATTAATGAAAAACACAAAACTGAAAACGAACAAACTACAAACTTCTTCCAGAATGTCATGTCCTGAACACTCGTAAATGAAAAACATAAGATAAAGTAAAAATAACCTTAAACTCCACCAAGTAACCATTATTTGCTTGGCTTGCGCGTGAGTTAGCAAACATAACACTCATGTCAGAAATTGGACAAATTCTTTTGTAGTATTCGAATCCTAAAATTAAAAGTTCTCTCATGAGATCAGAAGCAATTTGCCTAGGTAAGGTAAGTTAGGTGTCGAGTATCATATGCAAACAATTAGGTATCTGTGAGAAAATAAGCTGAAAAATAGTACCGTCAAAAAAATTTGGGTAATTTATAAAATTTACATAATAATATCCTAATCCATTCCAGCAAAAAAAAAGCCATACAAATTCAAAAATATAGGAGTAGGTAGAAGACAAAATCACAGCAACATCGATTACAAAAGCCAAATATAATAAAACCGGAAAGGCTTAGAATACCTTCAAACAAAATGAATATGGTCAAATAAATATTTTATGCAAAATATGGAAGTACGAGTGATAAAATGACACAAAAAATTTATGTACATAAATACAATGCAAATAAGGTCACAAAAAAGCGATAAAAAGCAAAAGATTTGAAAATAACAGCAAAAGTGAATTACTAATATTTTCATCTTACCTGCTAACATTTTGAAAAACGATTCAGAGAAAAAGCAGCTTGACATTAAGACAATGAAGATCAAGGATTTCGTTTATATAAATCATAACAAACAATAACAAAATTAGGATTTTAAAAGTTTGTGCTGAAGTGATTTCAATATAGAATATTGCGACTTTCCCAGCGCGTCTATGAGATCCTTTTCTGTAAAAATTCCAGACAAATTTGCAAGATGAAGATGATAACATAAGGTATCTCTGTTAAACGTTGAGTAATCTGCTGTACTAGACAATATCTGAAATTTTGAACTACATTTTTTTCGAAAAATAAAGTTTTTATCGAACTTCTGGCTTTTGTCTTTTTATGCATTTATTAAAATTGAAGGGATAAAAAGCTTGCAATATTTATAACTTTTAATGTATTATCTCAAATTAATGCCTGAAGTGCTATATAATTCCTTTCAACATATTAAAAAATAATCCATGAAAATGGAGGAGACAAAAATTGGCCAAGTTCAAAAATAATAAACGACTAGTAAATTCACCTCCATATATTATAAATTTGATTCATAACAGCGTAAATGAAATTCCCACCTGATTTCCTAAAGAAATCGTCAATATTAATAAGTGGAGATTACATCAGCAATTATACATTTAAACAAAAAACATGCGTACCTCAAGTGCTGGTCCGAATTCTAATGGAATTGAAAGTTCCCAATTAGAATAAAGCATTGTTATAAAGCCGTGTAAAGGATTTTCACGAGCACCACCAACAACGCAATCATAAACAACCATGCAAGGAAATGACTGAAAGATCAAGATTATCCTAATGCTAAAATTAATATACTGCTAATCGGAATGATTTATCAAAAATACCGTAGAAGTGAAATGCTTTGCCAGAAATTGAGCTCCTTTAATACAGGCAATAAATGAATCACTACGACTTCCTTTTAACCAGTGACTGAGAACTTTAAACAATGGGTGTCGCAGAGAATCTTTTGTAACTGAATAGACAACAAAATACGGAACAAAGTCGGGAACTTCATCAGCCAAAGGTAGTAGATATTTATACTTGAAATTAAACAATGAATATTAGATAAAATTCAAAGCTTCAATAAATTATTTCATTATTCTATACACTCTATCGTTTTTAGCCAAAGTCACATAAATATAATTTTCAGTAACTTAAAGCTATAAGCATGAATGGTTACTTCAAGTTGATAAATTTTGGCAGAAAAAGTAAGAATTATGATTAGAATTTTTAAAAAACACTAGAAAGCGTCTAACTAAATTGGAATCTTCGGGGATAAATATATAATGATCAACAAGCAGAGAAACAAACTGTTGAGCATATGATTTTCCACTACCAATCTGAAAATTATTTTTAGCAGTCCTATGTCAGATAACAACAATAATGCCGTACAAAAACATACATTATACAGAACGCAAATGAAATGAAATAATAACTTTTTGTAACCACTGTGCAATATGTTTGAGAACTGAATAGCAAGGATACTGTACAGCCAAAGAACATAAGTTAATCAGCAAGGAAATGCGTGTTTCGTGCAAAATTGGTTCACCTTCACGACCACAAAATATTGCTTCAAAATAAGAATACTGATTACCACGAGATTCAGATTCTTTTTCCTGAAAATCGGGCGGTTTAAATATTTTTCCTCAAGAAATGAGATTCAGATTTTTTATCTGAAGATCTGGAGACTGAGATTTCCTTTTTTGAAGATCTGGAGACTTCCATTCTCTTTCCTAAAAACTGTAAAATCAATATTTTCTTTCGTTATTACCTCCTTCCTAACAATGCAGAAAAAGCGGCCATTGTTAAAAAATTTTAAAAGCTAACCCAACGACATATTTTCAAAAAAATATTAATCATTTACATCGCCACAATGCAAGTTGCTACGCACTCACTCTGACTACTGCTTGTTGTTAACGCGGAGGTCAACAATTTTTCAAACAAATTATTAAAAGCTATAATTATTTGAGTAAATAATCATTATTTAAATACAGTGATTACTTTAAAGTAGTCACACAGGATTTGCAAAAGACGAAATTGCTGTATTTGGTTTAAACGTGATATTCGTCGATCTGGCGAAATACAAAACAGACTATTATCAAGCTGATGCTGTAATTCATTATTTCTAAGTGATGCTGTACCACGCCATTTCTGTCCTTGTTGATCACATACTTTGGTAACCTAAACAAATTTCGATCTTACTTTGCATTGATCTCACACTGTAATAATAAAAACTGAAAAAGAAAGTTTCAAAATAAGATCAAAGTTTATAAGCAATTGCTTACTTCAGCAAATTCCTAATTACAATATCTTTTGTACTTTAAGTCTTTCATTAACTTTTTTTAAAGTATTTTATCTTAAACAAATTAGTATCGAAGTAAATGAACATTTTAGTTTGACTACCTGTTCTAAAATATCAGTAACACAAGCTGGAAAAGACTTATGTTTTCGAGGAGAATTCGACTTGATATTGCTTGAACTATTACGTCTCTCCATAGCCAGATTTCTTTTGATTTCTGCTGTATTCCTTTCGCTTCTCATTTTTTCACCACTACTCCCGAATATACTTCGTTCACTTTTTGTACAACTCTTTCTTACCCTGAATATAATTATCTTAATAATGAATAAGATAGTATTTTGTTCTTTTAACTTTTAACTAAAATATTAATAGTATATTTTCGAATTTGAAATCTTACCAAAATGATATCAAATATTTTCCATGTAAAACTTTTCCCTGACTTACATGCATTACAAAAGTGGAAGAAACTTATGCTGGAATCAATTCTGATCAGTAACTAATACTATAAAAAAAACCTAAACAATGTAAATTAACTGTGTAAAAACCTTAGCCACATTACGTTAGTTCAAATAAATTAATTAACTCAAAATATTGATATGATAAACGAAATTCTAAGACTGCAAATTACAAATTATTAGTGTAAGTTAGATTCGAAATATTAAGAACTTACTTAATTACTTATTTGACTTTCAACTAGCATGATGTGGCTAAAAACAGTAAACAAATAAACCTCACGATTCCATTGTCTTTCCAGCAGATACCAAAACATCTAACCACTCCTTCGCAGTAAAACGTCCAATATTGTCCTACCACTATTCCTTTTAAGCTGTTATTCTCGAAATTAAAGCGCGAAATTTTAAAAAAGTCAAAGAGAACGACTAACTTTGTGTGCAATAATATTCTTCATTAAATTGATCGTTGCTTAAGAGTTTTATATGTGAGCACTTATAAGGTAATAGTAATGAATCAGTCATTCATAGCTTATTTAAATGCCCGCTTTATTGTGCTCCAAAATGTTGTCATATTTTGTTGCATTATTTCTGCTCAAATTAATTACGACTTTTAAAATTTATGATAAATTTATGAGTGGTAATGAAGAGTTCACCTCAGTTATGTTTGCTTTATTTAGTTTGTTTGCTAACTCTTATAATTCTACTTCACATTTACTTCTATGATGGGATGAGTGCGCGAGATTTGGTGAGCAAAAGTAGTATGTATTATCTTCTATATCCCAGACTGTTAGGCTGCTATTTGGTCCTTTCATCCTCATATAATTAAATTTTTATTGAATCTTGCTTGAACTGTTAATTAGCTGAAATCAATTTCAGTTGTTAAATGGTCAGTGTGACATAACCGCGCAACTGTTACCATTTTGTGCTCATATACTCCGTTTAACATTTAAAATTTTGATTATTAATTTTTTATCATATAAAATAAAAACAATGCATTGTGTCTTATAATTATGTCAATACAAATTTCTGCTCAAATGCTTCAGAATAAAGGAAAGAAATGGTATTTTTACTATTGCCTTGTATTTGTATTGCTTTTTACTCCGAGATAATATTTCTGATTTCAGTTTCCAACGTTTGCACACCTTCATTACTCACGTAATTCAATTAAAAGTGACAAAACAAAGTCTAAAAATAGCTGTTATAAATTAATAAAATATAATATAATAATACTGTCATATCTTTATTTTTATTAGCATCCATCAAACTGCCACGCTAAATTTCTCAGAAATCCTATAAAAAAGAAACAGTACAATTCACTGGGTATAGTTTCATCTGAATAATGACACTGTGTTGTTGCATTCTACCTCAAATTTTACCCAAAAAAATATATAATTGAGTAATTTTAACACTTTTTCCTGTTAGTAATTATTTTTATTTTTTCTTTAGACATTTGAATAAATAATTCTTTGTGCATTGCAAAAAAATGTTTTGCCAAATCCAAATTATACTTTTAGCGGGATTTTTAAATAATTCTTTATGCATTGCAAAAAAATGTTTTGCCAAATCCAATACTCTTGGCGGAATCTTTAAATAATTCTTTATGCATTGCAAAAAACTGTTTTGCCAAATCCAAATTATACTTTTAGCGGGATTTTTAAATAATTCTTTATGCATTGCAAAAAAATGTTTTGCCAAATCCAATACTTTTGGCGGAATCTTTAAATAATTCTTTATGCATTGCAAAAAAATGTTTTGCCAAATCCAAATTATATTTTTGGCGGAATTTTAATATTATGCACATCTGCAGTAAAATTTTTTAGTCTATCCATTTATCTGTATGAATTTGACATATATTTTCGGCTTTTTATCCAAAAATTAATTTTTGGAATCGTTGCATAGTTACTTTTGATAGTAATACTATTTTTTGCATAACATTAATAACTAAACAATGCAATTTTAGAGCAAAAAACACGACAATGGGTCAAATTTTGGCTAGAATAGTTAAAAGAAATGATAAAATTGAAGAAAGTGATATGTTCAGCACGCCAATTACGCACAACAAAGTTATTCGACGTGTTGAGATGGATCCACGGTCACCAACAACTGCAATACCACGAACGCCTATTGAAATTGAAAGGTTTTATTCAGTATCTTCGTAAAATATCCTTTTTTGTTTTGTATAAATTATTAGTATTCAATCTTTTCATTTGATCGCTTTGAGCTGATGGGATTCAAATTTCTATCATATAATCATGAAGATGGCTCACTCATAAAACCAAAGGAAATTTAATCCGAATTATTAACTTTTGCAGAAATTACATTTCAGCACACCGAAATCCAGCGATTCATCACCAACACCAGTGAAGAATATCAAGAAACAGCAACTGCGAGAAAAGCTGCTTCGTAAAAACAATATTTCACCTTAAGTCTGGCATTTTTATTGGTATGGATTCAGAATTTTTCATATTACAAGTATCCTAAATCATTTTTGATGTAATCAAGGATATTTTTCGCCTTCTTCAATGCTGAATAGTGTATATTTCTGGGCATTGAAATTTTTAGAATAAATATTATGGCGAGAAATACTGATTTGCGTGAAACATTTCGACTTCATTAATATATTATTTCTTTCATTTCGAGAGGTTTCAGCAAATTTTGGTATATTGTATTTTCTGTTTATTAATTACTTCTTTATTAAGTTGTTTTTCTGTGCTGTCGCGCTTGTTTATCCGGGAATATAAATAGTGGCTGACGACATATATTGGTGACATTTATATTTGAATCTTGTCATAGAACACTGAAATTTTTTGTCATTTTATCATTATTTTTTTGATGTTTGCATCCTATGTTCTCACAGTGTATAAACTATTATCAATATTTACATCACAGTGACAACTTATATACAGATATTACAGAAATGTATTTACATATCGCTCATGGATGGATACATCTAAGTCAATATAAAATTCCTGATATTTTTCATTCAGTAATTACTTTAAAATTAATCATAATAGTAAGGAAATTTAATCATTTTATTTTCTGCTTCGCTTTTAATTAAAATTTTAACTTCCGAAATCTATGCATAGCTAATTTTCACTTTCGTTGCTGTAAAACTTCAATGTTATGAGTAATACTTTCTATTAAAAAGTTATTAATCATTTATAAGCATAAGCATAATTGAACCACTTCCCTCGCATATTTATTAGTTATACAAGCATATTTTTACTTCTTAGCACTTTGCATTTAATTATTCCATTGTATATCATTGCAATAATCACAGTGACAAGAGTAAAAATCGTATGATCATTAGAAATATAAAATTCATAAATATCTGTGCATGTCACTCTTAATAATAAATAATATCTTCTCTTAAATATTCAATAAATAACTTTGCTCACTTTGCAATATATTATTTTTAACTAATATTTTATATCGCATTCAAATGAAATTATAGCGATGAATTTGGACAAATTATAAGGTAAATTAAACTTATGAACACAATTTGAATTGAGTAAATAATAAGTATTCTAGCACTAGTAGTAAGTATTCTTAACACATTTTACATCGAAAATGCAAGGTCTGTTAAACTTTTTGCTGACATCATAATATGCCATCAAGAAACCGTTTTAAATAAAAGCATTTTATAATGCATGATTAGCACTTGGATAAATGAAAAAATTCTCCAGGGAAATTACAGAAATTTACAAATTACTAAATTTAATTCCACATCTTAACTTAATTAGTTTAATTTAATTTGTACACTAATTAGATGACTTTACTTACAAACACAGTTCATATTTGGAAGCAAATATGTTAACACATATCGATGAAAAATTAAAGGTAATAAATAATGAAAGAAATAAACAGTCTTTTTCAAAAACTACATCCATGAAATCAATTTTCGGTATTCGTTACAAAATGTAAGAAAAAAGACCCCTGACTTTGAATATTTTTGGCATTCAGACTGATTTTGATTTAAATAAATAACCTTTATACTGACTCATGAACTCGGATGATTGACTGGTTGACCTTAGACGGAATACAATGGTGTTCCTTGCGAGAAATCAATTTCAACAATAAACATACATAAATTGTGCTGCTAAATCTGCAATACAGCTGTAATACATGTTTATGGTCCTTTTATTCTGTCCAATCCATCAGTAATATTAACATAGCTAACAAAAATTTCCATCTACTATTACCATTTATACATTTGAGGTTAGGGGTCAGGTTGGTTAATCTTCACTTCTTGATACAAAAAGTGAATTTCTTTTAGTTCTGAGAGAGATTGTTAAAGTTGCAAGATTTCATACCCTTCTTAGACTCAAACCACTTGCTTAACAGTGTTCAATTCTTACTAGATATAGTTATTAGTAAACTTTAATGAATTTTGCTCCTTTTTTATCACTCTTGAAGTGAAACTTTAATTTATTTAACGTTTGCATAAGTTCCTTTTCTCAGTTTTTGCATTATTAGATTAATGATTCTTGAATCAGACTTTATTTATTTCTATGTAACCCACATGTATGTTTTCATGTTTCAAATTTACAGCTCTATGTTTCCTACAAAAAGGGCTTTATCACTCATAATAGCTCACCGTTTTACTCAGAATGTTACTACCGTCCAGTGTGCTTCAGTAAAATTTGTCTGCTATACTTCCTCAGGTTAATTCGTTATTTTTGCATTGTATTTAGGTGAAGAAACTTACTAGATATGTCTTAGATTTACAACTGTTTAATTTCCACCATTTCAAATAATTGTGGATGAATTGTGCTGTTTAATGGTTTCACAGTAAGTTTTCAGCCAGTAAATGTAATACGTAGCTGTATCAGTTATACCTTTTAATAATTAAACATTTTTTCCATCTATAATTCTTGTTTTTCAGCTCGTCAACGGAATTTTGTCTTTAGCAATCAAAAAAGTGCGTTTCATTCTAGTAATGTTAGGAGCAAGCGCGATTACTACGAAATTTTGGGTCTGAAAAAAGGAGCATCAGCAAAGGATATCAAAAAAGCTTATTACAAGGTTTTTACGTTGAGATTATCCTGATTCATAGATATTTTTCCTTTTATGTATAAATGAAAGTGATAGCAGTAATAATTCATGTGTATCGCTGCTTTCAGTTGGCTAAACAGTACCATCCTGATGTCAATAAAAATAAAGATGCCAATGCACGATTTCAGGAAGTATCTGAGGCTTACGAAGTAATTTTTGGATTCGGAAAAAGTAACTTGTCTGTAACAGTATCTGTAATGGCTATACATTACCTTTTCAATCATCTAATAAAATCCTTTAGTAGCACAGTGTTTGGTCTCATCCATAAAAAATGTAAAATTTTCCATGTTAAAGGTGCTTAGTGATGATCAAAAGCGTGCGCAGTATGATCAGTTTGGTACAGATCCATTCCATCAGCGTCAAGCTGCCGGAGCAACAAGTTTTAACTCTGGAGGCTGGCAGTACCAGTCAACAATTGATCCTGAAGAATTATTCAGGAAAATGTTTGGTAAGCAGCTATTAAGATTTAATTCTATTTGGAAAACTTTGAAAATATTTATTATCATGCAAGCTAATTTTAGTGATCGTGACTTCTCAGTTTTTATTTTGTATCAATACGTTAAGATCAAGTTCTTTAGGTGGTCGAAGTCCATTCTCGGATTTTGCGAGTAGTTTTGGAGATTTTGCGGATTCAGGAGATGGTTTTGAAGCATCCGAACAGCGTGTTTTAAACATAACATTCGAAGAAGCAGCTCGAGGAGCTCAAAAAACTATGGATGTGAATGTTGTTGATGACTGTCCAGCATGTTCAGGAAAAGGAGTTCAGCCAGGTTTTAAGAAAGTACTGTTCTCTATCTTTGTGACGAAAGTTTTTCTAAATTTGGTCTGTTAATGATTAATAAATGGATAGTCATGAGAAATCGATACCAATCAAATTTAAGCAAAAATTGTATCTTTAGGTTTCTTGTCCTTATTGTAATGGAACAGGATTCGTTACGCAGCAAATGGGAGGATTTTACATGCAGTCAACATGCGGACGCTGTCGGGGATCAGGCTCGTATAACAAAAATCCTTGTTTGAATTGTGAAGGCCATGGCAGGACAGTTCAGTCTCGTAAAATTACGATCACTGTCCCTGCTGGAATAAATGATGGCGAAACTGTTCGTATGCCTGTAGGAAAAGTTAGTAGCGTTTTTTTTTTCTCGAATTTGAATGTTTTTTATTTCTGAGTTTTTCAATCTTTCAGTCAACGATTTTTATTACCTTCAAAGTAGCTCCTTCATCACGATTCTCTCGCGACAAGCATGATATTTATTGTGATGTAGAAATATCCGTCGCTCAAGCAATTCTTGGAGGCACAGTAAAGGTATATTTTTTCCTACATAATTCATTGTTGAGGAAACCCATTGTAAACTGTTTTATGAGTAAATATGTGGTACAAATTTCTAGATGATTGATAACAGTGTCATTTTTTAATGCAGCAGCTTATATTAGTCTGGAAATGTTTTTTCAACGAAAATGGTAATTTATTTTTGTTGTGGAGTACAGTATTGAAATAATCAAAAGGAATTGTGGAAATGGATATATTAAAATCAAATTTATCTATAACTGACCCCGCAGTACAGAGTATACATAAGGTTA